TCTTGGAGGAGAGGCGAAACGTTTCATTAGAGAAGAACCCGTCCAGAGGACCTGTACAATTTTTTTCTTTTTGTTATCAGCAAACTTTATTCAGCTCTGTTTGTTAGCTTAATTTCTGCTTTGTTTCACTGCACTTGCATGTTTTTTTTGCTCCATCTCACAGAGGGAAAAATTAATCTAATTTAATCCAGTCTGGCACACACTTCTCCTTTGTTTTTTAGTTTTGGGATTTATTCCCCCMCCACCCTCAAAATGGCTTCTATGTAACAGCCAAAAGAGTCTGAAAGCTTGACAGAAAGCTGGCTCATAATTCTAGATTATAACCAGAGAAACATGACAGCCTGAAAGCAAAAAAATAAAAAAATAAATTAAATTTAAAAAAGAAAGACAAAAGGGAATAGTGAGTCCATACATGGAAAACAAAGTCGTGACATGATCCAACCAGCTAACAAAATGCAAAGACTTATTTAGCTGCAGACTGCTCCGTCTTCCTGAAAGCAGAAACCTGACTGACGGACTCAGCTGCTCTGAGCTGCTTAATCCGCAAGCGAGAGGTGAAAGGTGATCAAACGTCTACCCCGGCCTTTCGCACACGACCGGAGGAAAAAAAAARAAAAAAAGGTCACGCCACAGTTTAACTCTCCCTCATAAAGCTCCGCCGTGCTCCTATTTCAACRGAGCATCAAAGATTCATGAAATAATCTTTGTTTATAATTTAAACGGAGCTGGAGATTCAAAAAGCAGAGGCTGCAACGATACCCTGAGGTCTGCCGCAGAGCAGAGGGGTGTGATTAAAGCTTAACTAGGACCAGATTCAGGGTGGTTCCTACAGGCAGTGCCACTTCCTGTAGGGGGGCGGGGGGGTCTGACGCAGCAGGATGGTCTTTCAATGGAATCACAAGCCCTGACGTTTCAGAGAGTGAGGATGAAGTGGGGGTTTTCTTACCGTCAAAGGACAGGAAGACTCTTGGCATGGGTTGAAGTAAGCTGGAGACCCCGCCGCAGAGGAACACGAGAGCCAGGTGGGTGAAGCCCATCGCTAACACCAGAGGAGGCCCGGCCGACCCCCCCGGCCTGYCCATGGCTTCAGCGCTCAGGAACAAGGACCAGCTCTGCCTGCCGGAGGGGCTTTCACTGAGGAGATCAAATCAAACACATTTTACATGTAAAACTTTGGTTTCATTAGAACTGTCGCTGCTAAACTCCCCCACCCCACCCAAAAGAACCAAAAAAAAAAAAAAAAACCCAAAAAAAAAAAAAAAAAAAAAAAAAACAAAAAAAAAAGGCACACGTCANAAAAAAAAAAGGCACACGTCATGTGCGCACAAACAAAAAAATAAAGAGACAAACCTGAGGCTGACTCTCTGACCTCATGGCTTATTGATGCGCAGTGAAAAATGCATGACCGGAGATATGAAAGCTATAAAATTTTCAAATAAGGAGTGTGGTATACAAAAAAGGGAGTACATGTGCGGTGGAGTTGGGAGTGCGAGTGATTGACAGCTGAAGTGGAACCTGACGGCTCAGGTGCAGGAGGACAGCAGCAGAGGAATGAGATCTTCTTGGCTGCACTTTAAACCAATAAAGCAGCTTTGGGTTTATTCAGACCGCCTCAGTCTGTGCACCGCAGCTCCTGAGTGCTGCTGCAATATAATAACACACACACAGACACACCTACACACACACCTATACACACTTAAATATAGTGCCTCCAAGCCTGGTCCAAATCTGAGCTCTTACTCTGAGGCTTTGTTACAAATTAAAGGTTGACACATCTTTAAGTGCCTGCAGGCCACATAAATGTACAAAATTCATTTATTTTTCCAAGTATTGACCAAAATGTTGCATATTTGATAAAACTGTTTCATTTTGTGTTTGCCAGGTAAAAAAAATAAAAAAATAGACTTTCAGAGATAGTTCAAATCTTTTAAAATGGGAACACGTAAAAGGAAGTAGGTCAAATCTTACCTGTTTCTAAMCTTTATTTCTCTAAATTGAGGTAAAGTCTGACTGGATTGACAAGCTAATGGCTGGTCTGTACAAAGCAAACCCAAAAGTGGAGTGCTGCCTACTTCTAGAAACATTAATCTCAAAAAAAAAAAAAAAAAAATCACACACGTTCATGTGAATGTCACTTTTTTCTCCAGTAAAAACACAATTTACCTGCAGAAAGTTCTTCAAACTGCACCAGAAGTGCTGCTGCTGCCTCTATTCGATTTAACAAAGAACCCTAAAATATGTTTACACCATTCTTTCTTGTTAAAGTTGTTTAAAGGTGGCAGGAATTCACGTTGGCTTCTATCAGACTTCCTGTTATCTCGTCATTCTGGTCAGAATTGCCTATATTTTCCAAATATAGGTCATTC